AGGCCTCTGGTAGAGGACCCGAGCTCAGAGGATGAAAGAGACCACCCATGGAGGGTGAGAGGGGAATTTTTTTTATATATAGTTAAGTAATTTCTTTTAATTATCTATTATTTTTGTCCATCTGATTTTTAAATATACCTATAAATATTTGAGTAGACTTGTAACCAAATACCTTTTTACTTTTATTGAGTAATTTTGTAGGCTGCTGCTTTTTACTTTTACTCAACTAAAAACATGTTGAAGTAGTGAAATGTTTTGGCTGCTCTGCCCTCCTCTGTATTTATTAAGGCTCCCATGGAATAAACAGTGGAGAAAATAGCTTTGAATTTTTGAATTTTAATTTACTATTAATAACAGAAATTTGTCATAACAATAATAAATCAAAATTCTTATCATGACAATAATTTTTTTTTAATAATAACTGATAATACAATAAGTGGGATTTTCAAGTAATCACACTTTGCACAATTCAGTTTCATTTAATCATATTTTTTAATTTAATTATATTTCTTGTGGAACAAACAGTGGAGAAAATAGTAAAACATAACATTTTTGATCACACTGTCAGTTTTGATTCTTTGTTTACCACCAGTAACTGAAATTTGTGTTGACAATAAATCAGAGTCCTTATTGTGATCATAGATTTTTCACAATAAATGATAAATGATACAATAAAAGCTCAGGTGTGTTTGTCTCTCCAGATTCCTGCTGGTCTGTCCAACCACACAACCCGCCTGTTTCTGAATAAGAACCGGCTCAGCTCTCTGCCAGCGTTCTGCTTCTCGGACCTGTTCCTGCTGGATGAACTCGACCTCTCCCACAACCAGGTCCCGCCAAAATTAACTTTTTCTCAACAAACAAAAACACAAAACTAATATCAATTATTTGTCTTTTACCCACACAACAATAAATTAGTCATTGTGCTGAAACCAGCATTAGTATGACATTAGCCTTAGTTTTTACAGTTATTTAACTTCTTTGGCCTATTGTTGGTCTATAAAATGAATTTTCTTTTGAAGACTTTGTTGTGTTTAGCCAAGTATAATGGATGAGTGTGTCTGGCTGTGTTTCTGATGTTTGTGGAATAAAATGTAAATAATCATTATTTATTTTGAACAAGTAAAATCAAAAGCAAAAAATATATATGATAATAATTAAACATAAAAACAAATACAAAATTTCCATACATAGTTTGAAAAGGAAAAGCTTATTAAATCCGACCCCCAGTTGTCTCATCCAAATATGCTGCATACTATACGAATTTACTAAATAATGTGAAATAAAAATAAAATTTTATTTAAAAATAATAGTGAAACATATGTACCTAGAATTTTCTGCTCAAAAAGATATAAACTTGCCATAGTAATCTAATCCTAAAACAGTTACTGCAGTCAGGGGTCAGCCAAAATTATTCCAAGGGCCACAAAGGGCCCCTGGGTCACACTTTGGGCATCCCTGCATTACCCAGTAAGTAAAAAAAAACAACAAAAAAACAAACAAACAAAAAGAAGTAAAAAAAAAAACATTTCAGAAGGGCTCTTTTTGTCCAGAGGGAGAAAAGGACAGATGCTCCAGCACCACCTAGTGTCCACCTGTGCATCCTGCCTCCCAGTAAACCAGTAAAGCCCAGAGTAACCCTCTTCCTGTTTCTTGTCCCAGCTCTCCTCTCTTGAACCCGGGTGTTTCTCCGGCCTGGCGTTGTCTCTCCGGTTCCTGGACCTCTCCTCCAACCGGCTCACCACATTGGACCCGGCAGTTCTGGGTGGAATACAGGTCCAAGCCAACCTGAGCCAGAACCCGTGGCACTGCGACTGCAGCATGCAGGTGAGCCTCAGGGCGGCGCTGGCACCAGACACACTGCAAAAACACAAAACCTTACCAAATATTTCTGGTCTCTTAGTTCACTTTAAATAAAACAAAACTAACTTGCAAGTAACTTTTCAGCAAGAAATATGAGCTTATTTTAAGTCAATAATTCCATAATATTGATATTTTTTTTTAAAATACTTATCCTATTGGCAGATTAATTAACTTATAACATCGGTAAAATAGCTTATAAAAAGTGAAATAATCTGCCAATGGAATAAATACTTTTTAAAAAATAAAAAGTAAGAAATTATTGACTTAAAATAAGTTCTTATATCTTGCTGAAAAGTTACTTGTAAGTTAGTTTTGTCTTACTTCAAGTGTACTGATATTAGAACTAGACGAAAAATACTTGGTAAGATTTAATGTTTTTATCAATCAATCAATCAATCAAATTTTATTTGTTTAGCACATTTCAGCAGCAAGGCATTTCAAAGTGCTTTACATAATTAAAATAAAAACAGCATGTGACATTGATTAAACAGTGAGGAAGAGAAAGACAAGAGAAAGACATTTCAGTTTTTGCAGTGAGGGACATGTTGATGACTTCCTGTCTCTGTCCAGGTGTCCATAACCCAGCTGGACATGGACAAGTCCTCTCTGGAGAAAGTCATCTGTGAGACTTCGGACCTCCCTAACCTCGGTACGTTGTGTCCGCCTGGTTCCTCATGTCCAAAACTTCAGGACCTGCTTCTGGTTGTAACCGTGTGTGTTTCAGGAGCTACTGGGCTGCCACTGGTCTTACTGGTGCAGGACTGGGACCTGTGTCAGTCTGTGAGGAGAACCACCGACTTCCTGACGTTGATCACCATGCTCCTCTGGTTCATCATGCTCCTTTCCTACCTGATCCACTACATCCGTCATAACAAAGTGGTGGCCCGACGACACATGGAGTACCTGAAGTTCCTGGAGAGCCGGGACCCGTTCAGACCCCGATGAGTCTGATGACCCCGGATGACCCCGGACGACCCAAGAACCCTCAGCAAACCACCTGAAAGGCCTTTAAAGCTGCAGTTTGTAATTTTTATAAAGAATATTTGTTAAAACTGTCACCATGACTTGACTGTTTGTTATGAGACAGATAATTTGTGAAAAGATTAATCTCTATTCACTTGTAAAGAAATGAACTGCTCCCGACCAAAAACAACCAATCAGAGCCAGGAGGAGGGTGTTAGTGCTGTCAATCAAGCTCATGTGCTTACAGAGAAGAAAAAACTTGCTGCTACAGGAAAACCGTTTATCCATTGTCATCTGTGGCTATGCTAACTAGCTTTAGTATTGACGCTAGCAGAGAGTAAAGGTGAAGAGTTGAGAGATGATTGACAGCGGTGAGTCCCGCCTCCTGGCTGTGATTGGTTGTTTCTAGTTCGCACTGGGAGATGGCAGAAGAGCTCTAATTTTTTCACAGATTAACTCTCACATTATACAGTCACAACTCAAAGACAGTTTCAACAAATATGTAAAGAAATTATTTATAAAAGTTACATACTGCAGCTTTAAACCTGATTCAAAATGATTGTTTCTGATCCACAAGCTACATTCACACAGCAAGCAAATGCAAGTTATATCTGGATTTTTCACGACTGTCCAAACAGTTTAATTCTGATATGTTCACAGGAAAAACTACATGAGATATGTTCCACTTCCAGAAGTTTTCCCTTCACACAGAAGTTTGATTGCGATCTCATTTAATTAGTAACGTGAACGACCACGCAAAAAAATATAAGGATTTCAGAAAAAAAAAAAAAAATTGAAAATGAGCATCAAGACCCGCTCTGGGAATGTAGCCAAGTATAATCAAGCTATGACTCCTGCAGAACCTTTCAGAACCATAAAACCGCGGGTCAAAGGTCAAGGACTTACCAGTAGTTAATCCCTAGCAGTTCCGTTTATTGGATGTTTTTATAGAACTCCCACAGAACCAGATGGACTTTTCCAAGGATGTTAATGATGATGACAACAAACCTACAACTCTGAAAGTCTTTCCTTGCACACATCATCCTTTCAGAGCTCAACCTGTGAACTGTATATGTGCTGTTTCCGTGGTAACTGCCTCCCAGCTCAGGGTTCACAACCTCCTGACTCAGTCTGCATCTGTTCACCTGATTTATGTGCTAAAAATGTCAAATAAATCCTGTAAAGTCAGTGCAGGTTGGGTTCTTTGTGTCTTCGAGTCAGATTTCTGTTACTGACCTGAATTGAAGTCGACATTTAAATGATTTGAAAGGACGCTTCGGTTCAATCCATCCAAAATGAGTGTGTTTGTGTGTACAAATGACTAAAACTGGTAAATATGAGTGAAACAGATCAGTTTAGAGTTACAGAAACCAGACGAGAGGCTGCTGAAAACATTGTTTTCCATTTGTTTCTTCAGAATAATTTTAACTTTAGTCACTGGAGAGAAAGAGGTTTTATAAAAGAATCTTAAGATCCACTTTTTACTTCTTGCTTTTATTGAGATTGTATTTTTTTTACTGTAACAGAATCTAATTTATTTTTTAATTTTGAAAACTTAAAAAATCTGTTGAATAATATTCCATTATTTCAGATAATCTCTAAAATAGACATTTTAAAATAATTTGATGTACAATAAATAGTGAAGAATTCTTATTCATCTTATTTTATTCCTCATCTAGAGCCCTGACATAAAAGGTGAGCTTTACCAATAATAATTATCTAATAATAATAAGATAATAATTAATCATCCTTTTTTCTAATATGTGATTTTTTTTTCTATCCTGCACTTGTGAATAAAATTAAACACAAATTAAAATTAGTTTACTAATCAAAAAATATATTATTTATTCAAAGTAAAATCATCAACTTTATGTATTTTCACCGGCTTCGTTGCTTGTGACTGAGCGAAGCAGGATCGAGTCATCTGGGTTCGACTGCCTCTGCCTGCTGTTTTCTCTCCACCATCAACTGCTCTGGTCTGCAGATTGAATACTGTCCAGTCATTGTGAGGATCAGCTTCAGCTGCTCCGATCATCGAACCCCTCAGAACCGCACAGTTCGGCCCAAACACAGTATGAAGGAGACAGCGGCCAAGCGAAGAGACAAGGCTGGCGGTCGGGACCGGGACAAGTCTAACAAGGAACCCAAAGAGCCGAAGGAGGTGAAGTCCGCGATGGCGGCCGCGGAGCCGCAGGACGTGGAGATGCCGGAGGAGGAGACTACTAACGCGGTTAAGCTGCCCAAGGAGCAGGACAGCCTCACACTGGAGGGTAAACCTGGGTCTGATGTTCGGGAAGAACCAGGGGAATCAGTCCGGTACTGAAGTCACTGTGATTCTGGCTCTTTACTGGACTTGTTAGCTTTAGCCTGTTAGCATAAGACCAACTACTGCTAGATGCCGTAAAACAGCAGAAGGGGACGTAAAAGCCTCCAAAAGGCTATTTTTATATCGTTTATTTTACGTTTAACAGATCAGAACCAGTCCAGAACTACTTCATGACCTGACCCAAAGAGTTTTGGAGTACAGCTGGTAAACAGTGAGACAACAGAAAAGAAACATTTCAGTGTTTTGGCCTCAGGACAGTGTAGGATGCTAATGTTGCTTCTGCTGCCGAATCATTGTTTATCAAGGTATCAAATCTCCTGTAGAGCTGTTTACGGTTCTGCTGGGACCGGTCACTCCAGAATGGACCAGTTTAAGTCCATTTTTGTGGTCCGTTTGTCTTCAGATCCTGGAGAATTCAGTGATCATGGATTAAAATACAACTTTTAGGTGAAATCCACGATGTTCCTGTTGTTTAAGGATCACAGAACCGGACCTGTCATGGTTTGGATCTTACCGAACCAGACGCAGTGTCCCAGTCCAGTTAGGAGGTTTCTCCTTAGCTACAGCTCCGTGTTCCTCCGAGTGCCTCAAGGCTGCGTCCCGGGTTAGGGTTAGTGCAGTGCACTTTTTATGGTTCAACTGGGGTTGATGGGGAAAAAAACAAAACTTAATTCTCATTTTGAATTTATTCTCGTAATTTACGACTTTATTTCTTTAATATTATGACTTTGTTCTTGTAATTTTATGTTTCTAGTGTTGCAACGTTATCATTATAATTTTATGACTTTATTCTTGTAATTAAAACCAAAAATCTCTTAGTGTGGAACTGATACTCTCTGAATTCTGAGAGAAAAGAATATATTTTTTTATGTTCTTTAGTGACTCCAATTCTCTTCTGTAAAATTGTCCATTGTGGATTTTAAATCTTTTTGCTTTTGGTTGCGCATCAATTCCATAATATATAATTATTTTTCAGTGCTTAAACTAGTTTACACTTTTTGTTTCTTTTTTTGTCCTTTTATATTTTATGTTTTAATGAGCCACTGACTCGTTCGGCTCTGGAAATCTGTGCTGACTGGACTTGTGTTCAGAGTTGGATGTTTGTGAAGCTGTCAGAGATCTGAGCTCCTCCCCTATCTTCATCCTCTCCTCCTCTTCCTCAGACATCAAGGAGCATGTGAAGCAGATCGAGAAGGCCGTGTCGGGGAAGGAGCCGCGCTTCGTCCTGAGGGCCCTGCGCGCGCTGCCGTCCACCAGCCGCCGCCTCAACACCGTCGTCCTCCAGAAAGCGCTCACCGGGTTCTTCACCAGCAACACCTCCACCAGAGACTTCCTACTGGGCTTCCTGGAGGAGGTGAGCCGCTCTGATCTGTTTACGTCTGGATTCCTGCTCACACAGCAGCCGGTGTTTTCACTGAGCCGTCCTCTGTCTCTGTGTCTCAGCCCATGGAGACGGGTGACGGAGACATCCAGTTCCGCCCGCGGACGGGGAAAGCGGCGTCGGCTCCTCTGCTGCCGGAGGTGGAGGCGTACCTGCAGCTGTTGCTGGTCGTCCACCTGACCAACAGCAAGAGGTACACCGAGGTGAGGAACACGCACTGCTACTGGACCGGACCTCAAAATCATGAATAGATTATTGATTCTGGGCTTGGTGGTGATTCAGATTTAAAAAAGAAATGTCTGAAAATTATGCTTGTTTCTATTAGAGTCAGCCATTAAATTAATTGTATTGATTAGTCTAACTGCTCGTTTTTGAAGATTTAATTTTTATAAAAACTCTACGACAAAATACAACGATCGGGCCAGGATTTTGTTTGGCCTTTTTGGAACAAAAACAAAGTCAATGACATTCTTAATATTTCCAGAATAAAGTAGTAATTTTATGAGAACTCAAACACAGAAAAACAAAAAGTTTATTATTCAAGCTTTTTTCTTATTAAAACAATTTTTGTGTTGTAATTTTAAGACGTTATTCTGGTAAAATTGAGTCTTTATTCTGCTAATATTATAACAACATTTTTGTAATTTCACAAAAATTCTAATTACGTGGCCCCAGTACTCTGTCGTCCAGCTCACAGAAGGGTTGATTTTAATTAAAAGCGACTTTTTGAAAATATTGTCTGTTATTTGTCATTTTTATTTTAGAATAGAAAGATAAGAAAAAACATAAAATTGGAAATCGGATCTGGTATGGAAAAAAATCAGATTTTTTTTTTAGCTATGCCACTCAGCCTGTGCAGAACCTGATGGTGTCTCTGACCCTCCGTGACCCCTGTGACCCCTGTGACCTTGACTGCTGCTGTTCTGGTTTCAGGCCCAGAAGGTTTCTGATGAACTGATGCAGAAGGTGAGCTCCAAGAACCGCAGAGCTCTGGACCTGGTCGTAGCCAAATGTTACTATTATCACGCCAGAGTGTACGAGTTCCTGAACCAGCTCGACACCATCCGCAGGTACACACACACACACACACACACACACACACACACACTTCAGTGCAGATGCAGTACAGACCTCCTGGTTTGAGACATAAAAGTTTCTTATATTAGTTTAAATCAGGAGTTATTGTGAATAAACTGCTTTAAATCTAATTAACAGAAGGAACCATAAACTCTTTAAACAGTTTTCATTGTCTAAACTACAGAACCAGAACTAGAGATGAGACGTTTCCTCTGGGTTTGAACTTTTAAATTTACTCTTCTGTCCTGTTAAGGTTGTAATGCTTTACAACTTTAACAGATAAAACCAAGATTAACATTTAAAGAAATGTCAATATGCTGACTTTTTTTTCTGATTAAAGTCAGAAATTATAATAAAAAAGATTCAAATTCTGAGGAAAAGTCAGAATTGTTGGATTAAACTTTTAAAATGGTTACAATTGAGATTACAATTCTGAGATTAAAGTCAGAATAATGAAATTAAACTTGAAAAAAAAGTCTAAATTCTTTGAAAATAATCAGTTCTGACATGATAGAATTATAATTCTGAGAATTCTGGGAAAATCTGAATTAAGCAATTAAAGTTAGAATTTTGAGAAAAATATATGTTTTTCCAGTGTCAATAATCCTCTTTCACATAAATGTCATTTAAGGCGGCATTAGAACATCTTACATGTGACCTTGTGCCTCTGTAATCCCAGTTTCCTGCACACCCGGTTGCGCACGGCGACGCTGCGGCACGACGCCGACGGCCAGGCGGTGCTGCTCAACCTGCTGCTGAGGAACTACCTGCACTTCAACCTGTACGACCAGGCCGAGAAGCTCGTGTCCAAGTCCGTGTTCCCCGAGCTCGCCAACAACAACGAGTGGGCGCGCTACCTCTACTACACAGGTGGGACACACACCTGCAGGGGGGCGGGGCCATGGGGGCTGTGGAGGGCTCACCTGTGTGTCATGTGTCCCCTGCAGGTCGGATCAAAGCCATTCAGCTGGAATACTCAGAGGCCCGCAGGACTCTGACCAACGCTTTGAGGAAAGCTCCACAACACACTGCAGTGGGCTTCAAGCAGACCGTACGAACACACACACACACACACCTAGAGACGCCAACAAACACTGAACCAATCAGAATCTCCAGGGACCAGTCCGGTCCACAAAAACTTCATTTGAAGCCGTATTCCCCTGTTTGACCAGCAGGGGGTGCCGTTATGTCAGTGTTTGTTTTGGCCTCTGTTGGTGCATAAAATACTGGAAAATCCTTGAATTTTCATCAGGTGTTTTCAAGGTGTGGAGAGTGTTTGATATTCAATCGGCACCATTTGGTAATAAAGTTCAAAGTAAAGTTTGATTTAAAAAAGCCTAAATTTCAAAAACATTTACAGATATTCTGATAAACCAAATAGAAAGAGAGGCATATTTTTTTTCT